AGGGGAGAGAGAGAGAGAGAGAGAGAGAGAGACGTTTGGTTTTCTATCGTGGGGGCTTTCTATTGACTTCTATTGTTTTTATACTGAGCTAATGAAATTTTACATCACTTACATCTCACACTCACAGAAATCTTTTTGCATTTGAAAATTTTTGTTAAGATATTGTTTGATAAGCCATTTTCCATAATGTTCAGTAGCTGATTTCAGGTTTAACTATCCTTTCATTAATATTTGGTAACTCAAGAATCAAAACATACATGCACGCACACACACATATACATGACAAATTAGACTCTCATACTATACTGTGGGGGCCTTGTGGAAGTGTGTCTCGCAAAGGGGTCAGCATAATAACAAGATTAGTGAGTTTTAATTTAGATTAAACAGGGTTTGGCTGTGATTGAGGCCCCCGCTGTTGTTCCCTCTGTACAAAGGAAGGACGTGCCGACATCAAACGGACGTGAGAGTGACACGCTGTTCACCGCTGCACTTCATTAGTCAGAAAAGCTGGGTAAACGCATCAGCTTTGAGTCGTCTTCCGCATTGACTCCGGAGAATTAAAAAAGGATTTGTGTTGATCTGCATCATAATTATTAATGTCCAGCATCTTCCTTGCAAAACAGCATTTTCTGAACTTGACACACACACACACACACACACACATTTTTAAATAGAAAACAGAATACAGTTTTATCCAATAAAACATTTAGAGCAGTGTTTCTCAATCTTTTTTGACACAAAGGGCTCCACTTTGTCCAACACAATCATCAAAAACCCCAATATTATATAATATATATTCAATATTTCTACCATAATTATGACAAAGCAGTTTGTTTTGCAATTTTTTTAATTAACAGAAACTGGGACTATTGATATATTTAATTAACCGCAGTTCACTGTGTGATTTCAAAAGTTTCAAGAACTGGCGGACGTGAGAGTGACACGCTGTTCACCGCTGCACTTCATTAGTCAGAAAAGCTTGGTAAACGCATCAGCTTTGAGTCGTCTTCCGCATTGACTCCGGAGAATTAAAAAAGGATTTGTGTTGATCTGCATCATAATTATTAATGTCCAGCATCTTCCTTGCAAAACAGCATTTTCTGAACTTGACTAAACAAATTTTAACTTACTTTTGATGTCTTCGGTATTTTGTATCAACCATCATCTTGAAAGTGTCCTGCTGAAACAACTTCAGAGTTTTCCTCTTGCTTACGACGTAAACAACAAAGAACCAAAAGAGAAACCAAAGAGATTTTTTGATTAATGTAGTGTGTGTGTG